AGTGTGTGATCACCGGAAGCCCGAGCGCCAGCCACCGGCGCCCAGAACCCTTCTGAGGCTGCCGTCCGAAGGGCACGTGCACCTCCAACCGAATGGTCTCTTTCTCACATAAGTAACGTAGAAGAACATCTATCCTAGAGTGAGTGGTCTTCCGTGTGAGATCACTGGACTGCCCAGTTACTCTGGGCAACAACATAGTGACAAAACCCAGCAGTCTTGGGGAGGGTCAAGCAGACAGACGGTAATCTGTAATTATCTAGATCTTGGCTTATACGGATCTCGACCAGGTCTAAACAGTTATTGTCAGAGCAGAATGTTGCGCATATGGGTTTTCCTACTGTCCTACGAAGACAAGCTTAAGAAGGTAGAAGGTTAAAGCTTCACAGGGAAGAATGCATTAATGTCTAATAGGATGCTTTCAGTTGGGATTTAACAAGTGACTACAGTTTAGAAGGTACGTGCAAGAATATTAAATTCTGTATACAAAATAGGTGGCATCAGGATGCGTAACAGGAACGACCCATATACAAAACAACACTGTTCTACAACACAGACAAATCTCTATCAGCTCATTTTAGGAGAGGGAGGGAAGGAGAAAGGAAAAGGGCGTAAAGTAGCCTGGATAAGGGAAAATTAAATATCTTGTACCACCATCAGGTTTTACTCATTCCATATGAAAGGGAAACCACTTTTCTTTATATATCAGAGATCTTTAAAATATCACACACCAGTCAGATACTGTAATCTAAAAATTATAAAATATACCCCCCAAAAAACTTAGGGGATCTATTGGCTCTACTTCACAAAATGTCAAAACAAACAAAAAACTGATTCTACATCATGCTTAGTTTGAAAAAGAGAACTACACTCTGACGCAAATCACTATGCTCATCAGACATCCGTTATACAATCACTGTCATCCAAACAAAACAAGCTATAAGCAAGGACATCCAATGTAGAGTGAGAAATCTAAAAATGATTGGAAAGGGAGAATTCATCATTTCCAAAATCCAGCTTCAGGGAACTAAAATCCCAAATGCTCCCTCGTGAACATGAGGAGGCAGAGTCCCAAGATGGCTCACAAGAACGGTCCAAGGGGTCCTTCAACCACTTACACACATGGCTGTTCACTACCTTTCAGCACGGCTTCGTCTTCTAGGAGAGGGGTTTAATTCTGTCACTAAGTTATAATCCTTTTAGGTTGTCCCTGAATATCTAGGTCAAAAAAATCCCATCACCAACACTACCCTCCTTTCCCTACAGAGACTCAACTAAAATGGCAGGAAAGATGTGCTCAGTGCAAGGACTTCTTCCATGCAGTTGGTTCCTTTACAGAGTGAGAGAAACGTCTCTTGAATAGAAATCATAGCACCAGAGAAACAGTGTCTGCAGAGAGTGAACTTTATTTTTCTGTAATCCTGTATCTTCATGAATCCAGGCCGAGAGAACAAATGACCAAGGACTTTTGAAAAATTTCATGCCAAACACAGACATTACCATTATAACGTTAAAACTACAAAAGCCCGAAGTTAATCTCGCAGACATGGCCGGCGGCGACCAGAGCTGCACAGAACTGGACAGATGGAGAGACACGGGGTGATGGGCCATGCGCAGCCTGGGCTGCCTCAATCCCCTGGTCCAGCCTGTGGGGCCCTGAGATCCCTGCAGGGCTTTTCTGGGAATCCAGACAGACGGACGGGTAACCATGCCCATGTCAGGCCCGGCAGCCCAGATGCAGTAGAACCAGGGAGTATGTGATTTCTTAGAAGGTGAATCTTATTTACTGGAACCCCCTTCGTGGAGGCCAGACATTCTGCTCCACAAGCCACACAAACTCATCAGGAGCAGGATCAACGATGATCCCGGACCACTGCGAGCAGGTGACAGAAGGCAGCCTGGTCCTTCACACCTGTCCTCCACCCTCAGGGAAAGTGCAAGCTTCCGTCTCTGGGCGCTGGCCCTCCACCTCGCGGAGGCGGGGGCCCCTCCCCGTACTAGCCCCTCTTCTCGACCCTGAACCAGAGGCTTGGCATGAGCAACGCTGCTTCTCAGATGAGGGCATCCACTGCCTCCCTGCCTCGGGACACCCCTGATGCTGACGGAGACCCTCCATCTTGGATTACTTTCCAAGAGCCATGTGAGAACTACACCCTGGAGAGAAAAGTAGACAGACATTCTATTTCTCCATTAATTCTGCAATCTGTCTCCAGTTTCAGGATACTAAGAACTCCAAGTTAAAGAAGCAAAGACTACAGTCCCTGGTATCTTAAAAAATCAACCCGGGGAGCCAGTCGACCAGAAAGCCTGGGGGGCAGAGAAAGGTGCTAGGGAGGTCTGGCTGGTGTGAGAACCAGGCCTGTTTCCTTCTTTCAGGGGTAAGTTAAATGTTACATAGAAACTACCCGCTCTTTCTCTTTCTACAATGCAAAGATATGAAAAGCACATAAATAAAGGCAAGTCCTAAGGTGTAAAGGAAGCCAGAAACTTGAAAGAGAAATCCGAATGACGTGAGTCTGTGAGTGGGTGGTGAGCCTGCCGAGTGCGCCCTCCATCCAGCCTCCCCCCGGGGACCGGGCAGGACCCACATCACTGTGGCTTTAATGACAGAATGGTTAAAGCTCTGGGCTCCTCGTCCCAGGACAGGCATCCCATCCAGATGCCTCTGGTCGAGCTTAATTTTTCCGAGCCTTGATTTCTTTAACGCTAAACCTTGTGAGGGTTTTTTTTTTTTCCCTTAAGGATTAAAATGGATCATGACTGTTCACAATTTCTAAATACTGAGCACTGTCCCCACTTGGTCAGCAACTACTTTTAACACTAACAATTACAGAGTTGACGACTTAACAAAAAGACATACCCTATAATCCCCCTACCAAATATGCAGAGTAAACCCTCATTTTATTTTTAAATCTTATCTTCATATAAACAGAAATATTTTAAGGACAAAATCACAATAGTCACAGAAACTGTAGTATCGTGGGTATTATTTCCTTTTCTGACTTTGTACAATTCAAATATTTAATGGCAATGAATTATTTCTAAAATGAGAAGTAACAAAATGTAGTGGGAATCTCCTAAACCTGTGAAAACTCACGGTACGAGCGTCATGTGTTTTGTTAAATCACAGCAATGGAAACCCTCTAGGAGCATAAAGGAACGCTGTCTGGAAAAGCCCTTCCGGTCCTCCCCCTGCTGGCACTCGGCCTGCAGACAACAAAGTGCTTCCAGTGCGGGGCCGCGGCTGACTGCCGTGCGCTCTGGATGCAGGGCAGGGAAGCACAGTATCTGGGCTTCCCTTGTGTCAACCAACTCTTACGATTATGTATGAGCTCATTTATGGGAAGGTCACATTTTCGATTTTAAATGCACATGTAAAGCAATCGTGGAGGATAAGCTCATCCACAGGATGAAATTCCGAAAATCTCCACCAGGGGCCGGCAAAGCCGCTGCAAAGGGCCAGGGAGGGACTGTTTCAGGCCTGGCGGGGCCATCACGTTTCCACGTCAACCACTGAACTCTGTGGCGGTAACAAGAGCAGCCCGCCCGTGCGCCCGAGAAAACACAGAAACAGGTGGTTGGCCAGACGTGGCCCGTGCGCCCAAGCCCAGGGACCTTCATCTGTAACAGCCCCACAGGGTCTGGGCTGCCTGCCCCGCTGGGCGCCCTCCAGGAGCCCCACGGGCCTCCGTGCGTGGCTCTTCACAGGCAAACATTCGAGGCACGGTAAGCACGGGCGTACACAGGCCACCACGGGCTCCAGCAGGGATGGGGATGGCCGGGGGGGTGGGCAGGGGCGGGAGGAAGGGCCCCCGAGCTGTCCCTCAGCAGGATGCCTCTGCGTCAGAACAGGCACCGGGGAGGCGGTGAGGACCCAGAGCACAAAGGCCTCTGCAGGACACCCGGGCTGAGAAGCAGGAAGGGCAGGCCACTGTGCGGGGAAGGAGGCCGCAAGCTGAGAATGGAACCGGCTCGTACGGAAAAGGGAAGAAAATGCGAAGTATGGAAAGGGACCCGATCTATGAAATGTCATAAAAATAGTCAAAGTGTGGAATTCTTCCCATTCCATCTGAAAATTCATCTGGACATTTAGAAGAGCATACACTGTCCGGTGTGGGGAGGTCCCAAATGCAGGTGTGTAATTACTACTTGCACTGGGAGGAACACGTCTTCGTCAGGGTTGGGGCCCAGTAAGGCCGGGATGACGGGCGGCTCGGGTGGTCTGCTCTGCCACCGTGGAGGTCAGCCAGATGGGGGGCAGCCTGGGAGTTACTCCCCACAACTCCCCGCGGACATCGGGACCCTCTGCGGGGAGCACTGCCCTTCAGGCTAGGGGAGTCGCTTTCTCCCAGACTTTCCTGACCCCTCCGGACCCAAGACCACCCCTCCCTCCCACCACCTCCCCCACGCCTTCGCCCATCCCCCTCCCGCTTCCCAGCCCGACTCTTGGCATCACGATCACGGACGTGACCGTCTCTGCCCCATGGAACCCTGCGCTTCTCCAGGAGGGTTTCCTGTCTGGTGCATGGCTGTTCCGGCTGTTCCAGGGGCGGGTGATCACTAATGAATTCAGCAACAAAGAAACAATTCTTAAATCGTGGTGTTGGCTCTCAGCCATAAGTCTTAATGTGGGATTGGGTTTTTTTTTTTTTTTTTTGGCCCAAACTTGGCTCTCTTTCCTCTTTTGGTTTATTCTCTCCAAAGCCTAAGAGCAAATATTTAGGCTGTTTTTAGAGACGGGCTTGAACTAAGAATGAGCAGCTACGGTGGAGAAGAGATGTGTAAGTGTGACCCATCACGTGCAGAAGCTAAGCGTGGGCAATGTCACACCCTGTGCACAGGTCACATCACAGCGCACCACACAGGATTCCCAGCGGACTGCTGAGTCTTCTGAACACGCACGCAGCTGAGCGCCCCCTCTGCATGAGGGGGACACTCGGATTCATGCCGGGCGGGCCCTGTGCCGCGGAAGGGGACGCGGATGCGCGGCAGGGAGCGCTTACCGTCCTGAAAGACCCGCTCCACGTTCAGCCCGTAGGTGGCGCACGTCTCATAGTAGGTACACCGCTTCAGGTCGCTGGAGAGCTTCCGCGCCCTGGCGTCGTCGATGACCCGTGGGTTACTGGAACTTATGGCATCTGGAACAGACAGCGACACGGTGACCATAAGCAGCCCTGTTGACGTCCCGCCACTTCAAGCCTCCAGGTAGCTCAAAACCTGCGCCCTGCTCCTGGGCATGTCATGTGTTTAAGAACCTGGAGTTTTTAAAACCTAGTTTACCCTCCAAGTAATAATCTCAAACATTTAGAACAGTCTCCATTTGTAAAAATGTGTTTCACAGGATGCTGCTTCTGAAACGGAGGTAAAGGATGCCCACTCACTGTTTGCAGGTGACGTCTGGTGCACAAAGCACTCTGCTCACTGCGTTCTAGCAGCATTACTCCCCAGGTGCAGCCATACACCTGTTCAGTCCGTGCCCACAAAGCTGCCCTCAGGTGTCTGGTCCTGTTCCGGGCACAGGGTTGCCCCAGTGGACAAAACAGACAAAACTTGGCTCCCTCATGGAGGGGCTACGAGGGTGGCCGGGGAGGGAGGCGGAGAACAAGATAGAGACGTGGAACAGCGATGAACGTTGTGTGGCCACGAGACCACGTCAGGCAGGGCAGGATGTTCGACGGTCCGTGTGCTCAGTGTGGATTCTCAGGGCAGCCCCACCCGCAGGAAGGAGGGAAAGGCCAACCAGCCACTACCTGGGGGGAGAGCACCTGGGGCAGGGGGGCAGCCAAGCACCTGGTGTTTACGGTAGACGGAGGCAGGAGTGGAAGAGAGGGGGCGGTGGAGGGCCCTACGTGCTGGGGTGCGAACCACCTTAGGTCTTAACGGAACCAGTCCTGGGCGCACCCACTTCCCGCAGGGTCTGTATACAGATGAGGACGTTGGAGCAACAGAACAGATGTGGGGCACCTGTCACCAGTCCCCTGAACAAAGAAAAACCAGCCTTCTTTGGCTCAGTGTCTAAGATGCCTCTACCCCACCCCACCATGCGTTCCCGTGTCCCGCACATGCCAACAGAGAAAGGCCAAGATGTTAGGAGCGAGGTGTGAGACAACAGGCACTTTTCGGGGACTTTTTTCTCCAGGGAAGTTTTCTCCGCGGGCTTGAGGCTCCTGTGCCACGGAAAACGCCAACTGCTCTTGAAACAAAAACCCACCGACGGGGTTTTCCCCACTAGTCAAAGAAGAGCACCAGACCAACAGAAACCCCAGAGATAGCAACAACCTTTCAAACTGTGCTTATTCTGGGGCTCAGGAAGTGCCCACGACATTTAATTTTGTAAGTATAAAAAAGTGGCATCTTGAGGGAATAATTTATTCATTTTTACCCCCTCTTTCTCTTGCTTCCTGTTTTATTTTTAGCTCATGGAACAGACCTGACCTGGCAGTTTCCCATAGAGAAATCAAGACTAACTCCGATTCAGGCCTCTTTCTCCAACAATGGCTTGCGCCACCTCAATAGATGTTCTAGAACATTCCCTGGGAAGGCCCCTTAGAGGGGTTTCTTCAAAGAACATCTTGTCCTGTCTCCTTGTCTTCCAGACTAAAAATTTGACTTGGATTTCACAACACTTAAGGAAAAGAAGTATTTTTTAAAGGTGCAAACATCTTTTAAGAAAACGGTAGGAAAAAGGTCGAAATCTGTAATTTTTCAATGCTCTGGTGTAAACACATGCCGTAGTGTCAACCCAGCTTAACCTGACCTGGGGTCCCCAAAAGTCCCACAGGCCCCCTTCCTCAGCAGGAGGCCCACCCCGTGCTGTCCCATCCTGACTTCCCAGGTGCAGCGACGCGTCTCCGCTCTGGCCACGTCATACCTGCACCACGCGTCAGTCGGGGCTACACCAGCCTGGTCTCTCATTCCACCTGTAACTCTGCACCTGCTCACAGCTTGTGCCTGTCCCTCAAATCGATGTCATCTGCAAGCCTTTAAAACAGAACCAGCTTAACGAACATTATGTAACTACCTCGTTCAGAAGTGTCCTGTCCACTTACGGACCCTCGCACAGCTCCTGACTACACCCGGAGAGAACACGCATTCTCGCAGAGACACTCCTCCCACCCTTGGATGAGGCCAGCGACCCCAAACACCTGGGGTAGGGGAAAGCTCAGAGTCCCTCATCTGTAACCTGACCCACCTTTTACCCCCAACACCCCACGAATCCCATGCAAAAGCACAACACACAGGCTTCACAGAGCAAGTCTGCAAGCAGCGAACAAGTACCTAGCAGTGGAACCTTCCAGAAGCCCACACTCACTCTACCCTCCTGCCACAGGGGCTTCTAGGGCACTCTGGAAATGAGAGGTGTGATTAAGGACCAAGAGGACCCCTCAGCTGAGGAATGTCCCTGCTTGGTAACAGTCATGCCCTGTTCATTTGGGATGGGGCTGTGCTGACGATGGACAAAGTCCCACAAATGAACGTGAGGAGACTGCCAGCATCTGTCCTCCACCCGGGCTCCCTGGCTCAGGTGCTCCCTCGCCTGTGGCCTTTCCAGAAAAATGCTCAGAAGACCAGCAGGAATAAAAAGGGTAAGTTCTTCCACTCGGGGACCGCATCAGGGCTTCCCTGGAGTCTCTACGGAGCCTTCCACAGGCGTCCTCTACAACCATGTGAGCCAACCTGGGAGAGGCTCGGCTCTGCCTTCTTGCACCCGTGGTGGGACACGGACAGCCACGCTTATTACCAAGGAGGGAACAGAGAGGCATGCTTCTGCACCCCAACCAGGCCCTCAGTAAAGCTGTGTGTTGAGATACAACCAAGATAACAGAAGCAACCACTTATGTTACATTTATGTGCCCATGGGTGTTACAGGAGCTCCTCCAGGGAACCCCGGCCGAGCCCGGGGAGGTGGCAGTCCAGGTCACGGGGCCAGGACGCTCTGATGCCGGGGGCTGCGCAGCCCCAACACCAGGACCAGACACTCCACTCTCTACTACCCAAACCACGGCTGCGTAAGACGACACCAGATGGATCACATATAGCCTTCTGGCCTAGACTGAGAAGTCCCTGCGTCCTAGCACAGTGAGTCCACAGAGGAAAGGCGTTCTGAGTCTGAAATACAAAGCCCTGAACCCACACAGCGTGCGAGGGGACGCCCGCACTCAGTCTCTGACTTTGCTCAGAAATGCCCTGGGCTGGCCCGCAGGGAGAGGTGCTTGCTGGAAAGGACTCGCTCCAGCTTCAGGGCAGCTCTAGGCAGATCTGCTGTAGATCCTGCCACCCACCAGAAAACACAGAATTTTCAGGATGCCAACAGAAACATGCCAGTTCTGTGTATTAGAACAAGAACCAAGGGCTTCACGCTGGCGCGCCCTTGTTTCCCGGCGGCCACTAGAGGGCGCCCTGGGCATAAAGAACCTCTTTCCCATGGAGTTGTAGGTGGAATTCACCTGCAGCTCTCCAGGCTTCAGTTCTGAGACCACCGGCCATTACACGTTCCCTAAAAGGGGGGGGGGGTGCTCCACACGAGAACCCGACTCTAACATTTTATATCCAGCGCACGGAGATGATGCTTTCAGTTGATCCCATGCTACTTCTGTTCTCACGAGACCCACCTGCCCCATGCAGGGCAGCGCTTCTCTGCCTGCGCTCACTCTCCGCACACTAGACCCAGTACCACGTGCACAGCTGACCGTTCCTGCCTCAACACAGCCAGTTTCTCGTTGAGAAAAGTCTCCCATCAGGGCACGGAAAGGCAGACCAGATGTGGACGTTCTAAAGGAATTAAATACAGCATACGAACAACAAAAGGAAGGCATAATCCAGTTCTTCTTGACGTGATTATTAAGTTACCCATACTGCTGACAAGGCAGTTTTAAAGTTAACCTGCATCTGGTTTTTAAAAACATTCTACATGGCCTTAACACCCAGATGGTGGACACCAGCGCATCCGTGGATCTGACGGAGAACAAGGACACATCAGGGATGTCACTTTGCAAGAGGCCAAGTTTTAAGTGGCCTAGCAAAAAACAAGAAATGCGCTCTTACAGGGTAATTCCAGACTCTGAGGTACCTGCTAGGTAAAAATTACACATAGATCGTAACACATAATAGAGTGAAATAGAACAAAACTCTGCTGTGTATAAGAAATCAGCAGGATTTTAAAGATGTACTAAAAGTTAAAATCGACAACCTCTTAAATTGCTTATAAACTATTTGACATAACCGAAAGAATTAAGAGATCCTACTACAGAAAAAGAAAATAGAATTTTTCTCGAGAGCACTTGGGAGGGTTTTCTTCTGAGGGTGCTGACCGAGTGATTTCTCCACAGAATCAAATCAGGAAATGGGACAATTTCAGTTTCCTGGATTCTCACTGGAAAAAGCCTTCAGGAAGAAGTTATTTCTTCTTTACACCATTTTCAAATTCCTCCAGGCCACAACTATGGGCCCTGAATCCACTTACTGCTCACCCGTGGGGTCCTTCACACCCAAGCTGCACGGGACGGCACTCACCCTGGGTCCCCACCAGAACCAGAGGGATCTCGCTCGTGTTCCGGTAGTTGGCCATCCGATTGTAGTAGTGGTAAACGGTCTGGAAGCTTATCTCATCCTCTAAGCTGAAGACAAAGATCACAGCGTCCACCCACATGGCAAACTAGGGAGAAAAGAGGGCAGAGAGGAGGAGCTGAGTGACAAGGCTGTCTGTCGGGAGGAAGGGTGGGGACAGCGTCTTCGTGAGCACGGGACGCGTGACCCCTCGCTCAGGCCAAGTCCGATGGGCGCCTGACTTCGGCCGTAACACGTGGCTGCGGCATATCCTCCTCGTAACATACCTGGAATGGGACCTTCACCCCCTTCCCACTCAGGCCACCCCAGGCTCCTAGGAGCACAATCCACACATGCTTTCCCGTGGGAACATCTACCCTCTGCCCCGATCCAGCCAGCCGCAGTCGTACAAACACAAGGCAAACCCAGCCTCGCAGAGGAGCCTCCCCAAATCGGAAGACAGGTGCTGACAGTGACCCTGGAGCTTTCGGTTTCACACTAAGTCCCTTCCACAGTACCCCCAGGAGCCTGGCTGGACTCCTCTGAGAGAGGGCGACTCCTCTCTGGGCTCCTGCGGTCTCTCAGAAATCCTCCACCCAGGCTGTGGCCCACTCCTTCTCACAAGAGGAGGTCTTTCTACTGGAAAGATCAGCTGCCACTGAATTCTTTTTTTTTTTTTTAAGTAATCTCTACACCCAACTTGGGGCTCGAACTCACAACCCCGAGATCAAGAGTCGTGTGTTCCAACAAGTGAGCCAGCCAGGCGCCCCTGCCAGTGAATTCTTAAAGCCCCCTCTGAGGTAGGATTACTTATGGTTAGAGAAATACACAAAGCTAATTAAGAAAATGAGCAAAAATCAGGGAAAAACATTAAAATCCCACAACAACCTGACTCTTGCCATTTTATTCTTATTTTACCTCCATCCAGGTGAACCCTCCATCACATCTACTTCGGGGCAAGTTACTACTGCCAGGCACGTACTATCTCATTCAATACTTATAACCACTTGTAAGGTTGGAGCCTAGTGAACGGAAGGCCCCAGAAGCTCAGCAGCCTCCCAGACTCACACGTGGTTGCAGCAGCAGAATCGAGAGCAGGTCAATCCGTCACCAAAGACCCTCCTCTTTCCCCATGAAAATGAAAAATAATAATAATCCTGTTTACTTTCTGCGAGAAGCCACTGTTCCTAGGTAAGTTTTTACCAGCCTAGGCATCAGCTCAGATATATTTGGGGGAATTTTTTGTAGGTTAAGCTCTGACTTCACATGTGACGGAAAAGTGGTTCAGTTGTAAGTGAAAATTCTACGTGATAAAATTTAAATAAACGTGAAGTCCCAAGGATAACAGTAGAATTAAATGAGATCAAGATCTTGTTAAGAATGAATCCCTGGACAGGCCTGATGCCCCTGCAAAGGGCTCAGGACCCAGGCCGACAGGGGCATCTCCTTTCCCCTTTCTCTACCTTGAGGTCTGTTTTCCCGTTCTCTTCCAAGAAGTGCGGTGAAGCTTGCCCATGCGCATGAGCACCCAGAGAGCGATCGTGGTCCTCCGGGACCAGAGGAAGGCTGTGTGAACCCCCATGCAGAGGAAAAGCAAGCCGCACCCCACTCTCCCATGGGTGGGTTCTGGCTGCCCCAGCACCTAGCAGGGGGTGAGCGCTCAGTAAGCAGCCCTACCCATCCCAATGACTGTTCCCACCAACGGCCACACACAAAAAAGCCAGTTAATCGGCACTTTTTACACAAAGCTAAGAGGACACTAGAAGCCACAAAGAAGTCTTACGATCTTGTTCATGAAGCTATTATCTTAGGTGAGTAACATGAAATATTCTGGAACAATGAAAAGAAAGACCAGGCTTCCACATGCCCGAGAAGGGTAACTTGAAAACAAGGTGTCCCCCCCCCCATGAATATTCAAGCATGCTCTGCCTAATTTTGTACAAAATTCTGTCCGTAATTTTGAAAGGCTCTGTGCTGATATCCCTGCCCACAGAAGAAATCTTTAACTAGGGTACGCTTCTGGGCTAAGTAAGGCTCCTGAACAAAGTACGGCTAGAATAAAGGACTGGTCCTCAGTGAACTGAGTAAACACGTTCTCTCAGCCAGAAGCCAAGACAGAGATCTCTGAGGGGGCCCTGGTTCTATCCCCGGGTTGGTGCCATCGGCAGGCAAAGCACCTGGGTCTGTGCCCCTCCACCACGTCCAACCTTGGGCAAGATGTCATGGCATCAGTGTCCTCCGTGAAGACAGGACTCCTAAGAGCATCCTCCCCAGGGTCTTCTGGAGGATGACATGAGCGGACTCTCACAGGGCAGGTGTTCACCCACGTAATATGTGCTTGGCTAGTAAATTATGACATAAATAAAATAATAAACTGGAGATTAAACTAAAGAAAGGTTTTCCACACCTAAGCTTTTTTATTTCCAGTATGCCCAGCCTTCAGGGAACTTCCAAAGAAACCACACTATGCCACACATTGGTTTTCAGTAGGGGTTGACTCGCGCCAAGAAGCCCGGCAAGCAGCATGGTGGCCCCCATCAGATTTCCAGACTTCAGACCAGCAACTTTCTAAATCATCCCACTGCTCTAGGGAATAAACCGCTTACAGGGAACGGGAGAGGACTGTGGACATTTCCAGATGTCACATCAGCAGTCGACAAACCAGCGCAAGTTCTGTTGTTCTTTCCATCTTAAAAACGTGAAAACCAGGGGTGCCTGGGTGGCTCAGTTGGTTAAGCAACTGCCTTCGGCTCAGGTCATGATCCTGGAGTCCCTGGATCGAGTCCCGCATTGGGCTCCCTGCTCGGCAGGGAGTCTGCTTCTCCCTCTGACCCTCCCAACCCTCCCCCCTCTCATGTGCTCTCTCTCTCTCAAATAAATAAATAAAAATCTTTAAAAAAAAAAAAAAAAAAAAACGTGAAAACCAGCCACAGAGACCTAACTTCCCCCTAGGATTTTATGTGAAGGAGCAACAGAATTAGTTTATTAGAGAAAACATGTTCGTGGGGCCTCTAGTCACCTTTCTTGCACACACCTGACTGATTTCTAGAGCCACCTGTTGAACCAGAACTTGAACAAGGGAGCCAAGGTGAGAAGCTGCTTACCGTTTTTTGCTTGTAGTACTCACCTGCGCCTCTGGGGGGCCCCCTTCATCTCTAATCAGCAGCAGGTAGCTCTGTCCATCAACAACGATCTCTTTCTTGAATCGGCCACCTGCCACACACAAAACATCCTGTTACGGAGGAAAGATGGGGTGTAACGAGGGCAAACAGACGTGGGCTTCGCTTGTGGAAAAATACACCCTCGGCTGTCGCCCTGGAGGCAACTCTCAATGTTTAGGACCAGCAACCACTGGATTTTAAAAGTCCTGAACTCAGATTTTAAGTATTTGTCTTTAAGGACCCATGTTCACTTCTGGTTAGAGTCCACAGCCTCCCAGGCAATGCCAGGGTCATCCATGGCTGAGAATGGAAGAATTTTAACGTAGGCTTTGTTTGTAAATTCAGGAATTCTCTCTTACTGGGAACACGCTGATGCAGAGTTCAGAAACACAGCACTGAAATGATCATTCTCTTGTTGGGTTCGCAAAACTGAAACGAATTTTTCATGTTCCACAGGTGCCGAGTCGACAACGTTTTGATAAATTCAAGAGCTGAGAACCGTATTCTCCTCAAGAGAAACCCAGTTTTGAAAGGAAAACACAGAACATCATGGGAATGGTGTCTCCGTATTCGCGGAGTACGGGGGGGATGCTGAACTACCACACACGTGTTAGACAGAACTACGGGATGGCTTCTCCGCACAAGTCGAGACAGAGCAGGGCAGCTGGCTGGCGACAGGGTTAGAGAGCACGCTGTGTTAGCGAGAAACCACCAGGGACCCTGCCGGGGCGCCGTCATTTCTTGGAAGGGGGATCTGGCCCTTCTCATCTCGGCCCCGCACATGCCCAGCTGGGGAGGGACACGCAACTGTCCTGTGTGTCTCCTCGTGGTGGCCCAGACCACACTGCCAGGCCTCTCCCGGACACGGGAAGGACGTCCGCTTCCGCGTCCCTCCGCATCTCCAAAGACAAAGCACCTTTCGAGATTCTGGGCTCTGAGTCCACTCCAGCTAACCCTCACCAGGATTCTGAATTGTTTTTGAGGGAAGAACGCATCAGCACCTGCTCTCATTCTCAGTCCTCGGCACAGACGCCTTCCAGAAACACTCCCTAAACCCCGGATGACCGCGCCCTGGAGAACCACGCTGGCTCCAGAGGCTGCGTGTGTGCCCTCTGCCTCCCGGGGCCACCCTGTCCCCTCCGGACGGGCGCTGCCAGGTGCCCTGCGGCTGGCCAGCCAGCGGACTAACCTTTCAAAGCGGGCCCACGTCTGCACGCACACTCTCCTCGCCTTCCTGGGCCCGCAAAACACACGTTAAGTCTGCTCAATAACAAAAACTGAAGACAGCTTTCCAACATCCAAACAAAACAGATAAACGCTCATTCTGCTCCCCTGCACGGCCAGCACTGAAGACCGCGGGCAGAGCACAGAGAACGGTCAGATGGGGGAAGGTGACGGCGTGTTTGCTCGCTGGATCCAGACAAGCTGGGCCCACTTCCTGCGCTTGTAGGAAGACTGGCAGATGACTCCTGGTCCCTGAACCACAGATTCCGTGTAGGTAGAAAAGCACAGCACCCTTTCCCCGCTGGGCTGCCGTGATTATAAAATGAGCTGGAAACCCCGGGCACCAGCAGAGCCCCCGCGCCTCCAGGGGGACGCAGCCACAAGACGCCGACGACGCCGGGCCGGCTCTCTGTGCGGATCCCAGGGCCGCCACACGCCACCGCTGGGACATCGCCGTCCTTATTCACCCCTCTCTACCTCAGTGTCCCCAGCTGTAAAATTTGGCCCCCATTCCACCTGAAGGGCAGAACCACTGGCAAGGATTACCAGTGTTATTCAAAATTTCTGCCAAGAGTTATCACTTGCTTTTATAAAAGATACACCTAACATTTAATAAACCTAACTTACAAAAGAAAAAATTTACAACAGTTGCAAGAGTAATCAGGATCATTTCTATATTTTTTAAAACCTTTAAAAAAAGAAGAGGTGCTGGAAACCTGCTATCTCTTGGTGAGAAAGAATCGCATTCAACCTTTCATGAAATAACAATGTTAGATGGGAAATCTATACTTTGAGAAAAACCTTTTCCTTCACATCTTGCTTGTAGAGATCTGACGGGTCACACTGAGGGGGACAAGGGAAAAGCCACAGGAATTTGTGTACAAGCTCACAAATCTTCCCTCTGATTCCCGGTGGGTTGATCTTGGCGCCTGAATGAGGATGACGGCCACTACAGAGCAGCCCAAGGGACCAGAGCACTTCAGATCAAGTCTGTCGGGAGCAGATCTGATGCAGAATTTAAAGCTCTCACATCACAGGAAAATACTCGTGCTCCAAGTGAAAGGATTTCAAGGCAGTTCACGTGTCACATCAGCTGGTCCCTCCGGTGGCAGGGACTGGTCTAGGCAGCACCTCGCAAATGTCCCTTCAGCAACACAGTCCTGCCTGTGCTCAGGAGAAACCGAGGAAAGGGCTGAGCTCTGGGGCCTTCAAGAGGGCACGGAAGCCTTGCTGTTCCAGCAGGTATTTAAAAACCCCCAATCATCTCTAAGCGTTCCTCAATCTGTTAGGTTGCTAATTATCACATCCTAAAAGAGCAACGTTAATTTCATGCAGTGTCCCACCATTACCTCTGTTATGGGTGGAACTGTGTCCCCCAACCCCAAATTCATATCCTAACACCCAGTACATCAGAATAGGATCTTATGTGCAAAAGAATTCATTGCAGATGTGATTAGTTAACATGACCTCATACTAGGGTAGGATGGGCCCCTTACCCAGTGACTGGAGTCCTTAGGGAAATTTTGGTGAAGATGAATGCAGGAGCTTTATAAGCCAAGAAACACCAAAGATGCCCCCAAACCACGAGAAGCCCAGAGACAGGCCTGGAACAGATCCTCCCTCACAGGTTCAGGGGGTATCAACCCTACCGACACCTTGAAGACCTTGGACTTCTGGCCTCCAGAATGGTGGGAGAATCAATCTGGGTTGTTTGGAGTGCCCCCAATTGGTGGCCGGAGCAAACTAACAACCTTTGGTACCTAGTTTCTGTCCTCATGATCCTCCTAGAGTGAGCTCACACACACACACACACACACACAGTCTCTCTCTCTCTCTCTCTCCCCCAACCCAGGTTATCCCTAGAACATTTCAAAACCCCCTTTATTCTCTCCATCCCGACTGTCTGTACTTGTTGAAATCATCCAGGAGTTTCCTGCCTGCCTCACACTTGCCCTCGGCCGCAGACCTGCCCCCACAGCAGTCCACAATCTGCAGGATCCACACCACACCACAGTTCCTACCCTGAGCCCACGCTCTTCTTCGTCGCCCCGGGACCCTGCCTCCCCACTGCCTGGCCTTGCACCCCCAGCAGCTCCCTGATGCACTAGCATCTGAGGGCACAACGGCCACACATACCTGTCACCAGTCTGGGTGGCCTCCAAGCAGGAGGTGAGCAGCGGAGCCTGTCCCTGGGGCCACCTGAGTTCCCAAACTACCAGCATCCCTCCCCGACCTCTCCCTCCCCGGGGAGCAAGAGCCTGGTGGGCAGGGGTCAGTACCCAGCTCTCCAGGAACGGAATGGCTTGGAGCTGAGCACCTCCTCCTTGCATGTCCTACCCACAGACCTTGCTGGATGAATTTCACATCCCTTCTTTCACTTTCTTCCTTTCAAGTGTGTTTGTGGAGTCTTGTTATCAAGTTATGCTTGCAGATAGTTCAATCACAGTATTCAAGTTAAGAAAGGTTTGCAAGGACCTCTCTTTTTGTTCCTTTACAATCTCCAGCTTTGTAACCTCCGCAAAGGACTCACCTAATTTACATCACCTCTAAAAGGAGGGGTGATCCTTTCTTCCACCTCTAAAGGTCCCTCCCAATTCTAAAATCACTTTATGTTTCCCCTCAAGGTATATAATTAGCATGTCTTTTCAATATCTTAAAATTACAAATACTAGACACCTGTAACTGGCTTACATGATTTTTCTGGTACTATACATACATCAGGAAAAAAATTAAATACTCTTATGCATTTGCCGTGAGCCCAAAGATTTAATAATTAGGTAAAATTCAGCCAGGTGCTGAAGTACCCAGGGTGTGAGAAGAAAGAACATGATTAATAAATGTTATATATAAATAAACTCCTACTGACCACTGTCAGGCTCCCTTGGAATGTGGCCACCAGGTACTGGGAGAAACGTGGTCTGGCACGTAAATAAAATAAGACTTTAAAACTCGTTTTCTACAGTTTAGAAACACAAAGGGGAGAGCCTCGGGAGGACAGCCTGTGAGGAACTGAGCTGCTCTGGCTTCAGTGGGAGCCATAGCTCTTGTTACTTCAATGCAAACACCCTGGTCCATCCCAAGCATTAGATCTTTTTTTTTTTTTTTTTAAAGATTTTATTTATTTGACAGAGAGAGACAAAGAGAGAGGGAACACAAGCAGGGGGAGTAGGAGAGGGAGAAGCAGGCCTCCTGCCGAGCAGGGAGCCCGATGTGGGGCTCAATCCCAGGGCCCTGGGATCATGACCTGAGCCGAAGGCAGACGCTTAACGACTGAGCCACCCAGGCGCCCCCAAGCATTAGATCTTTGCCTACCTTAAATTTAAGAGGACACCACCAAACTCTGCATCCAACTGCACTTTTCATGTAGGGTTTTTTGATGCCGACTTTATAATCCAATTTCCAATTATCTTTCTGCAGCTCTATTCTGCCCAGCTTTGTGTTCCTAACACGCAATGCCCAACCTTCCCTGTGGCCAACACTGTAAACTTGTTACGTGAATGGCATTCAACATTCTCAGCCAAATATTATTACATAATATTAAATTACTTCTGGGATGATTTTACTTCTAGAGTGTCCCCAAACCTGACCTCATCTTGGAAACAGTCAGCATGGGTTGGCCCAGCAAACCTGTGTACAGGTGTGTGGTGGGCATGGCAAGCAGGGGTGTGCAGACCCCGGGGCCACGGAGCCCACACGTGGCTGCTGGCCCGCTGGCTCGACCCCAGCACCAGGGCCCCGAACCTGGGATGACATCCCTGTGGGAATGGAAAACAGATGTCCCTCTTTCCTTACGTCGATTCCTTCCAAAGATGCGGTGAGGCCAGCAGA